CAATTCACAGCTTGTGAACAGTAGAGTTAGAAGTGCCTCTTTTATATTAGTTAGATAGAAGAAGATAGATAGATTAGATTAGAAGTGTATTTAATACGTACAAGAACTTAAAATAAAGTCATTGATTAATTTAAGCTTATTATTTGACATTTTTCATTTGAAATGTGTTGTATCATTGCTCATGAGTTATCCAGAACAATGCCAAGAACATATCCTAATAATCGAGAAATATAGACCAAAAATAAGTCAAAAGAGGGGTGGACACGAATTAAATTTATTAACCTCCATTTTTAACTCACTATTGTGCTTCATTGTTTAGCGATTTAGTAATTTAAAATGCGTGATGATTTTCGAAGTATGTGATTAGTACTTCAAAACGATATTAAGAACATTTCCCAACATTGGAAAATTGTAATTCGAAATTGGCATACAAACTAGCTTAATAAAATGAAGGAATAATTGCAGTTGCAGTCTAAACCCTTTTTTTTAAGACTTTATCCAAATATTTTCTTTGTGCCGCTCACAATTCCAAACATATCATTTAGTTGCAGCACACTAACAAATGGACATAGAATCTATATCCTAGATTGGACAAAACTCACGGAATTTAAGAACAAAATATTTTAAAACAGTTTTACTACATGTACATTAAGTTTGAAATGATGAATGACATTGTTTGACAAGATAACGCTTTTGGACTATTGATTTTGACAATACTTGTTCAAATCAATGGCACAATTTTTCACGCATCACACAATGTCATTCATAAATATACAACTAGTATAATTCATTTTAAAAACCATCCGCATTCCCTCTAAATATTTGGTAACCAAAAATTCGCCTATTTCCTCACCCGAACCCTTCAAATGAAAAAATAAACAAAAACAGAAAACCCATAAACTCCCAATTATAAATATGCAAATTTTAGTCGAAAATGCAAAAAATTCAACCTTTGTTTGAGTATAAATTCAAAATTTCGGAATCGTGAAAAGGAAAGAAAAAATATAAAAACAAGCATTTGATTTTGTAATATGTTGTTCAAGTTCCGGAGAAACGATGAAATCAAATATACTTCTATTATTAACCTTTCGGAATAGACGAAAATGCTCCTTTTTGATTTTATTCATTTTGGCCCTCTGAATAGTTCTTGAATACAGAAACTCAAAGATTTGTACTACACATGATTAAAAGGTACTAATGTTGGGAAAATTTTAATTTGTCATGTAAGTCTACATATGTAATTAATTGTATATAAAGTTATCTTCAAATAAAGTATGTTTAAAGTGATCGAATAAAATATTTAAGTTATTGGGTTTTGGGCATCTAAACAAAGTGTGGGCTAAATATGTGCGGAGATCGGATCCATTATGGTTGTATTGACGATATGTCGAATACATATGGAAATATAAATAGGGTTTTGATTCTCAATTCATATGTGATTCTCATTTTTTATGTCATCCCATCAACGCAAAAATACAAGGGAAAACATATTGAAAATGAATATCAAAAACCCACAATCAAAAATCAAGAAGAAGGAATTGAGACAATCAAAATTATAGATCAAAAAGTCAAAATCAAGACTAAGAATTCAAGAATCAAAAAGTCAATATTCAAGATTCAAAATCCAGTAATAAAGAATAATTCTCAATGAATTAAGGTATGTTTCACATTTAATAATTCTCTTGATAATTTGATTGGAGGACCTTGATAATAAAGTAATTAGGTTTTCTAATTCTTGAGATTTAAAATTTTAATAAAATCTGACAAGTGGTATCAGACTCCATGTTAAATTATTGAGAATAAAGAGAAATTTTAAGGTTGAAATTCAAAGTTTAGTTTTCTAAATTTTGGAATATGAATTTCAAGTTCTAAATATAAAAAAAAAAAAATCAATTTCAAGTAATTTTTTCAAATTATAGCAGTGTCGAATCGTCGCTGCGTTGCGACTAGGTAAAGGCAACGCCTAGGCGCTATGTTTACAATGCCCAACATCAAGCACTGCAGCGTCGAGTCACTGTTAGGCGCAATTAGCACCCAGTTTAGGGAGCACTGTAGCGCCCAGTTCAGGACACTGCATGCTAGACTTATGTCCTCTCTCTTTTTTGTTTTTGTTTTTTTTTCTCTTTTGGCAACAAAATAGAAAAATAAAATAATAAAATTTAAGGGGACAATCAATTTCAAATTTTAGTACTTAAATTTTATTTCGAATTACTAATTTTTTAAAATAGATTAGTT